GAGTTGCTGATAGGCGAATTTGTATGAAGCTATAGAATTCCTTTATTCTTTTAAGGTAAATGAATGCTTATGTATTCGTCCGTTAGTAGCGTGAAGCTTTGAACACTCTTTGTACGGCAGATTCGGCACAATGTTTTGCCTCATTGCGATGTTGCCTGAAATTTTGAACAGAAGGGATCATTGCTCATGCTGGTGCAGCAAGACATGTAAGGAGATGGCCTCGTCACAATCCAGCAGTCATATATCGACAATCTCAAGCTATGACAACTTGTTACATGTGTCTGTAATAAAAAAAGGACTTTGCGATGGTGTGGGGAGCTCTTTGAGTGGTGGGACTGTGGAAATCCAGTTTGTTTCGCCCGTAACAAGTTTGTTACGGGCGAAACAACGTCCCTCTGAAACGTTTGGATATGCCTTTGCAACACATTTCCTCAATTTCATGAACTGCAAGTATTTTAATCCAACATCACCCCAATCTCAGTGTAAACTAGTCTCCAAATGTGCCTGCACAAGACTGTCACCCCTGTCACCCGGCATTCACATTGCCTTAACCTCCTCAAGCTTGTCGGGGTGTGACACGTGGGCATGAACCTTGTGACAATGGGCATTGTCACAAAGAAACTGGTTGCAATCAGAAATGCATTTTTGCTCATGCCAGGTTACCGACATCGGTTACCGATTACTGGGGACGGTTAACGGATAACGGTTCGCCCGGTAATCCTACCGACCGGTTACCCATCTCGTTAACTGGACCCGTTAGGTCGGAACCGGGCCGGAACCGGCCTGGAGTATGCCATTGGGCCTCGGTCGTGTAGTCTGTTCCAATGCCTACAATACACGAAGCACTCGCTGCAGTCCGCGGAGAGACCGAAGCCACGGTTGCTCCCATCCTTCAAGCTCTACAAGCTGAAGGTTTTGATGTGGATGCTGAGGCGGGAGACGCGTTTTGTCTTCTTGACGTTAATTATCTGCGATCACACCTTAATCTCCGGCAGCTTACCGCCCTGAAGGCAGCCATCAAAAGTAAGCATCAGTAAATGCTGCTATGCACACTTGAATGGGGTTGGCCGTGAGGCCGGTTGTCTTTTGGTATGTCTGCAGTTCGGCTTGCGACTGATCGCCTGCGGACTGTGTCCATTAGGGTGTCGGAGAAGTTTTCTGCATAAGCGAGGATTTCTGTCCTACAGCCGGTATCGTAGCCAAGAGAGGTCTTGCTGTGATGGGTGATCTTTCGTAGACCTGTTTGCAGTGGACGAAGCCACTTTTGCATTTCCGCAGCCGAAGGGTCACAGTTCGTTTTCAGGGCTTCGTTCAAGTTTCAACATCAGCGTATATGTGGCAGGGTGTGTCGCCTTCAGGACTAAAAGCTTTGTCACCCGAGGCTGTAACCTCTTAGGGAGAGTGTGCCATGTGGACGCTTTACCGCCGGCTGTAAAAAGTACAGCACCCTGCACCCTACCGTGCACAGCTGCACGGTAGGGTGCAGCTGTGCGCCCCATTGTGATAGTGGCCCCCCTGCACGTTGGTCGTCAGACAACGCTCTGCATGTTGTCTGGCGACCGTGTGCGTGCACGCTGCATCGATGTTATGTTTGACGACTTGCTCATGTTGTACAGCGTGGGTGTTCCAGTGACCCACCCTGCTCACCCTGCCGTGGGCCTGCCGCCTGCAGGCGCTGATGCTGGCACCAGCAACACTGCTGCAGGTGAGCCTACTGTGCCTGACATGGGAAGGGGGGGAACAGGTTTTGTGGGCTTGGTGTGCCGTTTCATTTAGGGGTGGAAACTTACGGTGTAATAGACTTTTTGGACCGTAATACTGGATTCACATGCTACATTACGTTGCGAAAACATTTTTGGAAAAGTGGGCCTGAAAGTCACCCAGTTCACATGGGACATTACGACAACGTTGTGTTCGTTGGCGCGAGCTGTGTAAACCATCTCCATTTTTATGTCTTTCAATGGCCAAAACTTCAGCACATCCCCTTAGAATCGCAATATATAATTGACGGGTTATTGGCAGCCCTGCCTACTGCAATGGCACTGCATCCCGCGCGAGCCGCGATGGCGTTTGCCTTAGCGGCTGCTATGGATGAAATTTTTGACAACCTTGAGGATATGTTCAATTCTCAATGGCAGTGCTTGAGTGTGTGGGCCGACGTGGCATGGCCCATGCCGCCGGAAGTGCGGCCGACTTGCCATTTCGGGGATGGCTTCAGCCCTGATACTACAATGGGTTACATATTGGCTATGTAAGCGGTCGTGCGCGTGCGAGCAACACGAGTGGTGTTGTCCTTGTTCATTTTCCAAAATAAACTGCAGCGGTGTGAGTAGAAATTCGGTCGGAGTGCAAAGTGCGCACAATTTGTCAAATATGTGGTCTTTATAAGCGATTGGGCTTGGCTGTTTGTTATAACTCGCGAAATTGGCGACGCAATTCAGGTAACGGTACGAGGGGTCGAAATTCAACCCCCCCGGTTCACTTTAGACTTTTCGTCCACTTTACCGGTAACGTACCGTTACCATGTCCGAACCGACCACTTTTCCCAAAAAGTCTCAACATAACGTAGCATGTGAACTGGCTATAAGTTACGCAAAGTGTAAAGTGTAAAGCGTCAAATACCGTATATTACGGTTTGGAGCATCCTGAGACCAACCGTAATACCAGTGGCCATTTTCGTGAACCCAAAACACCGGGGTCCTGGTGAAGCAGCTGGCCGCGTACTTAAGTATATAGATGTGGAAGATGCCGAAGTATGTCGGTGAAACATGATGTGGCAGGAGTGGAGAGAATAGTGCAGCGGTATATTGTGAGTGTAGTTGAAGGGTAACAAGGCGTTCAGCGCACGGGCGAATTTACTTAATCTCCGGCGAATTTACTTAATCTCCGGCAACGTAACACCCTGAAGGAGGCAATCGAAACAGGCATGCATCGGCAAACTTAGCTGCTTGTGGAAGCTCAGCGCATTCCTAGACTGGGTTGGGAGTTTCTTGGGTTCGTCATTTCACTGTGCTGCTTTGGGCCTGCAACTGGGCTCCCGACGAGCACCTCTGTTTGCTTGTTTGTGTTTGCAATAGACGCAGATGCAGCAGGTGGGACTGACATGACGGCAACCATCAGGGCGCGCGCGTGTTACTCTTCCAAGTATGCCGCCCACCTGGTGGTGGAGCCCCCCAACTCGCCACCGTACAAGGAGGCGGCCACGGTGGTTGGGCCGCACCACGTGGCAACGTTCGCGCATGGCAGGCATGAAAATTGGACGCTTGGGCAACAGATGCAGGTGTGCATGGCATCAAAAGAGTAGGAGCTCCACATGAGGCAGTTTGCCGATTTTCGTGTATGGAGTCTGACTTGAGCTGCTGCCTTATGAATGGTATTTGACTTGGGCTGTTGCTGGTGCAACTGCGCATGTGTATCAACATAGCAACACCCCGGCATTCATATTATAGCACTGCTGCCGCAGAGCGCTGCTGTTCTTAGCACGACCAATCATGCAGGCAGGCATGCCTCTTGTGCTGTGCATGGCTCTGGCCCTCTTACCACCTCGCCTTGCGCAATGCTTGTAAGCTTCATGCAACAACACTCTGCTCGCAGATTGCCGTGCACTGCCCCGACGCGGACCGCAGGGTGTTGGTGGACTCAACGGTGGTGTGCATCAAGCCCATCCAAGACGTTGCCATCCTCGAGGTGTGCCAGTGTGCGGGTCGGTTAAGCCTACAGTAGCGGCAATTGAGCTTACTTCTGCACATGTAGCACCCTTGCACCTTTCCTCCCCAAGCCCTTTCCTTGCCTAGATTCCCACAAGTCAAGGTCCATGCAAGCTCAAGCTGGAGCATTAAAGCACTCACAATTCGCAACATAGTCAGCCGCCTGTGATGTTGCTTCACTGGTATTGACCTTCAGGTGCAGCGCAAGCTGGTGCCCCCGGTGCTGGACTTTGGTGTCTCGGCTGGCGACAAGTACTACGTCCACGGCCAGTCCACGCAGGCGCAAGCGGACGCCACATCCATCAGCCACGGCATGGTGGTGGTGACCGAGCCAGATGTGCACAGCCACATCCGTGGTGACATTGTTGCGGGTGTCGGTGATTCAGGCGGCGGCTGCTTCTCGGTCGACACCGGCAAGCTTGTGGCCATGGTGGTCGGGTCTGACACCCGTACAAACAAAGCCATCCTGGTGCCCACTGCAGTCATATGCAGCATCCTGTCGGACCTGTCGGCAACCTCGGGGGCTGCAGGAGCAGCCACCTGAGCATACAGCGTCCGGCTGACGATGTACCCGGTGTGGCGACGGGTGGCCAGAGCAAGCTAGCCTGTCGCCAGGATGGGAGGCAGGGCTGCTGTGTGTGTCTGTGTTGACCCGACCGCGGCATACTCTGGTCGCCTGGCTGGTTGTGTGGGTGGGTAGGTTCAACTGAGAGTGCGTGCAGCGGAGTGGCAGGTTGGGCTCAGGAGTGGCGGTGCCCAGTCGTGGTGGTGGCAGCATCCAGCAGCGGCTGCTGGCGGTGCTGACTGACATGCTATTTCGTGGTGGAGTAGGTGTAAGGGTAGGGAAACCCACAACGAGGGTGTGCAGCTGCTGTTGACTGGTGCTGTAAACACTAAGAGTATGGGAAAAAGCATTTCATAATGTCTGAGGATGGGCTACAACACGACGCCTTCATTCCGACCCATTTCGACCCATTTAGCCTAGCCAACACCGCCCCCTGTTACTGACATGTATGGGTGGCCCGTGGCCTTCCGGGACCGGGGCACGCCAACCATGTCCCATCGAATCTGGTTCGGAGTCTTAGTGGGGATTCAGTTAATCGGTGGTTGTACGATTGTGGATTGAGACCGGTGGGCCAAACGGGAGGTAGGTGTGACTACCCTGCTGCTCGAGGTTAGTCGCTTTCAGGCAACCCTGGCACGTTTATGGCATGGGGTGTGCTGGGAGAATGAGAACAAGGAGACCATGTGGCGTCTCGCCGTGGATGGCGTGCCCCTACCTGGCTTGTTTGGTGGGCTCGTTACACCTCTCTGAGTAATGCAACCGAGATGCAACAGACACACACACACACATGTATACACATACATCTCCTTCCAGGCCAACAAGCAAGCATTACGTCATCTCTTCACCTGTCCCACATGTACCCTCGCTTCCAGGTGAACCCCGGCCTGGATGATATATATTTGAAAGGAGAACTGTGCATGTGCCTATGTTGATCGCCTACCAGGCCTACTTAGTCAAGTAGGTAGACAGCCAGCTACCTAGCTAGTCAAACCAGCCACTTGGCCGACTGCATTCAACACGCACACTGTCACATGAGATGAGCAGGGATACAATGTGCGTGTGTGTGATGCTGAGTCCCTGTATGGAGCAGGAACATTAGCCAGCAACTGCAACTTACCGGAGATCACGCTGAGGTAGCGGACCCTGTTCAGCAAGCCCAGGTGCTGCAAGCCGTGCAGACAGCCTAGGCCCAGGGTAGTGGCTATCGGAGCCTTATCACCCAGCCCTGGCACGGTGAAGTCCGGGTCGTCAAGCTCTGGAAAGCAGATGGTGCCGTCCAGGCGAGCAGGCCAGGCCTTGACAGACGTAGTATGAGGGTGAGAGAATATGCCGAGCAATGACCTCGCCTCAGCTGCGACACCGGCCATGACAGCGGAGGCAACATTTTTCTGATCCCCGTAAGCTTCAGTGGGAACCCTGTCTAATCCATCAAAAGCCTTGGACAAGCCCGCAGAAGTGTCATCGACAACGGCGGTAATGGCACTTGTTTCGGTGCCTGAAGTGGTGCTGGCCTTGAGTATTGTCGGTTTGTCCTCCGTAAGGGGGTTGGCAGCCGTGGCAAAGCGGCATCCGCTGCCATCCACAGCTGCGCCAGTGGGATTATCGACGGCATCCATGGTGACTACTTGTGCTCTTCCAAGCTTTAAACACAACACTTTACGCGCAGTTGTGGCTGGTCAAGCTTCCTGTAAGTCTCAGACCGGCGGCAAATGAAGGCGTTTTAAAGTGAGAGGCTGTTTTGGTTTCACTTCCAAAGCTCCACGCGGTAAAATTCGCGCCTGTCTTTTTGGGCATCTTGTACTCCCTGGAATGAAACTAGTAATTCTTATAACATAAACCACAGTGTAATCTAATACATACATACATGTGCCCTAACAGGGGGCTGATGATGTGCTTACAGGCCGTGGTCTGCTCTTCGTCCAGCAGATTCGTTGGGCTCATTATGTCCTTGACACTTTGTTACCTTACCTGTCAGGTACTCGCCGACGGGGTGTCGCCAGACACCGCCCCTGCAGCACACATCGTGCTGTTGACCTCACCCAAGAAAACGACCATGAAGGTAGGCATCTTGGGCCCAGATGGAACTAGAAGGCGTACCGTCATACACTGACCTTGCTTGTGCACCTGGCATGCAGCATCCAGGACTACTCGCCCATAAGTTGCCATCTAAAGGTATTTGTCCCTTATGAACTAGGAAGATCAGAATGAAGGACTGTCACCCCTCCCTCCCTCGGGCTGCAGGAGATGAGGAAGGCAGTAGCTGTGATTTGGTACATGCCTTTCTGGGAGCTTGAGGAGCTGCTTGACTGCCGCAGGTGCTGGGTGTGGGATGGGTGGTGTGGGAGCTAGGCCCTTAACTAAACTGTACTTGTTGCCAATTGTCCCACGTGTAAACAGTAAAAGTTGTTACTTGCTTTCCCTCGCACCATAAATGTGCCCGCAGCAAGATGTATAGTGCAGTGCCAGAGGCGACCGTGGAGGAACTCTACATTTACTATGGCGGTGTAGCACGGTATGTGCTTGAGCAGCCGTTGAAGAACCCCAACTGGATGTTGTCTAAGCTGCAGGAGCCACTGATCAGCGCCATAGATGCAAGCAACGTTTCTCAGGTGAAGCACTGTAGTGTAGCTAGTCCTCTGTCTGAGCCTCATGTCATTTAAGGTCGTTGCCCAGTTTTCGCCTGCATTGCCTGAGTTTTGATGTTGATGATCCTTCTATCCAGTGGAAACTGATTCTGTATGTTTGCATTGCTGCTGAGCTCTTGTGTCCTTCCATGTTCATATTGCTGCAGACATCTCGTTTCTTGGCAAGTTGTACCTGCCTTTCACCTGTAACACACCTATGACCTGGCCTGCCTCCCTGGTTGCTCCCATCACGATAGGTTCGGTCGGCCATTGCGTGATCCATATTGTGGTTGACGACAAGTTCGAGGTGCAGTACCTAAACTTTGCTACCAAATGGGTGGCTGTCGAGTTTGCCGAACGGGCATGGAAATGTGAAAGGGGGGAAATTGATATCTCTGCTAAATGGCAGCGAAGGTGTTAAAGGGCTACCTCTTTGAGGCAGTCATGCATGCTGCACTGGCGACTGGCGGCAAGTTCGATGTGTTGCCATTGGACCCGAAGACTCTGGAGCGGGGCAAGGAGGAGAAGCTGGATATCCCGGAATGCAAGCAGTATAACATCTTCACAGACAACGAGGTCCATGGTATGATGAGCACTACGATGGACACATACTTGAGGCCCAAGTCCTCCAACTTCCCCGTCATTGATGCTCTTATGGTGCCGGCAATGTACCTTTTCCAGATGACTGTGTCGGCTATGAAGGAAATTAATGCTGATGACCTCGAAGACGTGTTCAAGTGACTCGGCATCTCTGCTCCGGGCCAGGAGGGCCGCCAACCCAGCCTTTAATTTGTGGTGGATCCTAGCATCTACAACAAGTTTAAGGTGCGGGCAGGAACGAAGAAGAGGAAGGCCTGTGAGGAGCGAGAGGCTGCCTGGCCGCCCGACCCCAAAAAGCATGAGCGGTCAGCCAACACCTGGTTGTACATTCTGCGTGGCTGTAGCAGTTGCTCACCTGGCGGGTCGACTGGATAAGCGGAAGCATGGTGTTGGCTGTCCTTGCCGGAGTAGGAATAAGTCCAACCCAGCGGCAAGCACTAGCATACATAGACACGTACGAAACAATCAGAGATGGCGGCAGCGGAGTCTTGAACTCCGAACACCTAGTAGATGTGATACGTCAGTGTCTGGCCAGAGCACCCCGCCCGGGTAGCTTATATCTCGGCCTACCTGCCGGAGATTCCCTACCACGGTCTTGCCGTACTAGGATAATGTTGGTGGGGCCCAGGGCCCCAGCCCGTTAGGTTTGCTTATGAACAACTGTCATGTTCGATGCATGTGACGTGGCTCGTAACATGTACAAAACTTGAGTCGAATCATTAACGAATTAACAATTATTGTTAAAAGTAATCGTTGAAATATTCTAAGGGAAATGTAGCTTGCTACAGTGGCATTGATAGCATTAAGTGAAGGTGTCATGCACACGTACTAAGACCTGCACAGCAGCACGTCTGTAATTTTTCCACGTGACTATAGACGAACTATTTTGAGTTTTAGACGGCTCGTCTATAGAAGAGTTTTTTAGACGATATAGACGACCGTCTAATAGACGACCCATAGACGACCGTCTATACCCAGTCGTCTATAGACATAGCAGCGGCATAGCAGAATGTATGACCGGTCCTTACATAGCCAAACACGCAAAAGGCAACGACTTGAACGCCGAACAAACACCAAAACAGCAAGATAAGCCTGAAAGTTTTCCTGATAAAGGCGTTTGGGATGGCGGTGCTGTTGTCGGTAATGCATCGGCAATGGTGTTGCTGCCAGCGGCGACCGATGACACGGGCGCCATTACCCCTGCCTTCCATGGCGGTTGTGATCAGCATAAGCGCAAGCTGTCACCCAATCAGCTCGACAACAATGAATGCGGCGAGGCGCCCAACCCGAGCGCTCGCAGTGCCAAGCGGGC